CTGAGGCAGTGGTGATGTAAGAAATAGGATGATGTGGACAATGAGTATGAGTATACACAGCTGAGTGTCACCCTCTCCACCACTGACGGATGAACACACACAGAAAATAGTCCTGGAGCTGTAAAGGGTGTTTGAGGGTGGTTGTGCTGTCAAATCCGGTTGTTGGCCTTCCAGTATCAGTCAGAAGTCTCCTCAGAGGGCCACTGGTACTCATTCTGTAGGATAAAGACTGTCTTCAATTATGTATACATTGTCATCACCTCAAGGCCCCACAACTTCTGTCTTCTGTAAAGCTCAAATCTAAGAGATGTGGAATGCTAACAACAGAGAGAGAGAGAAAGAGAGAGAGAGAGTTTCCTGTTGTCACATAGGTAATTGGCAGTTGAAGGACATTCATTTTGATTGAAAGAAATGGCCCTGTGTACAGCCAATCTTCAGACAAATTAACAAGATTGATAGTTGTAACCACTTGGCACAGAGGAGGGACAGGGGACTTACACTGGGGAAACTAACAGAGCTCCCTAAGTACAGTAAACTGAGGAGCCCACAAGGCTAGTGTAGTGAGTGAGTGAATGGACTGGTGTGGAGTGTGCAGACACTGGCCAGACCACAGTGCTGTTACACTCCTGGCACCTTAGAAGTCATCTTCCTCTAAATCTTCTCCTCCCTTGAGGCTCCCTCAAACAGGTCACCACCTAACCCTGTCATCCCCAGCATACTTCCCTAACAGCCCCTCAAAGGACCTTTCTACTAGCTTATGTGCTCTGTTTTTTTCTTCTTCAGTTTTACTAGAATAGGTAGTCAATGAAAGAAAACACTGGGTGAAAAAAGAGTGGGTCAGGGCAACACCTTCAATACCAGCTCCAGGAAGCAAACTTAACAACTCAGTGTCTACTTATAAGAGATTAGAATAAAGGGGCCTTCTGTTCCTGTGCTTCCATAAATGCAGAGAAACTCAGAATGCAGAATGCAGCACTGAGGAGTGAGGGTAACAAGAAAGGGACTCAGTAAACTTTATATTGTACAGAATGGAGCCAAGCATTGGGGAACACAGCAGTTATCCCCGAGTAAATCAATCTGAGGCAGGAGGATTGTGAGTTCGTCGTGACCTGGGCTACATAGCAGGTTCCATGCCAGTCTGCACCACGCAGTGAACCCTGTTTCAAAACATCCAACCAATTGACAAATCAATTAGTAAAGAATGATTTATAAGCCCCTGTTTCAAATCAACCAACCAATTGGTGAATCAATTAATAAAGAATGATTTATAAGCAAAAGAGCATAGAGAGATCTTCTCAAGATTGTTCAAAATGAATCAACACAATCCATTCCAGTTTACCTCAGAGACCCTGACTTCTTTTTCATAATGATGGGTCCTAAATTGAGGAGGGAAGAGATGGGAGAAATTGAAAGGAAAACTGAACATGCCATCAGAAACTCAAGATATTTCTCCTAATAAAGGATATTGCTTCTGTTTATGACGGAACCATCCCCAGTAACTTTGGGTAATCCCTTCCTGTACTGTTCAGGAAGGTGCTTCTTCCCATTGATTGTCTGCTATATCCATCCACATGGCCTAATTTCCTAGAGCAGCATTGGTAAATTGTTATTCATTGAGACAAACTAAAGACTAGAACTTTTTAATGGGCTGCTAGAGAACAAGTCCTTCTGAACGAACAACTTTGGACTAAGGAACGGAACACACTTATGGTATTTTGGTAATTCTCCCTTTTAGACACCATCTGTTATGTACCCAAGCTAATTAACCACAGACTTGGAATGACACTAGACAATGACACAGACATGACACTTGAGCCAGATTAAATAATCATTTTGGATACACAAGTTCTAATTAACCAGAGAGGAAAATCCTGAAGTCTGACAGGGATATTCTTGATTTTTTAAGTGTTTCAAGACAGGACATCTCAGGTTAGCCTTGGCTAGCCTGGAATTCCCAATGTCGCCCAGATTGGCCTCAAACTCAGAGATCCTCCTGTTCCTATCTCCTAAGTTCTGGACTAAAGCCATGTGCCATCAGAGACAAGAGACAGGCATATCAATATTCCCTGTTTTCTGCCCAGCAACACAAATCAGGTCAGTAATGGGCTCATGCCTGGTGTTTTTTAAAGTCCATGACTGAAGTTCTTACACATGGATGGATTACACACAGAAAGGACAATGTAGGACTAGGCATCACCCACAAATAATCTGTCCCAGTATTTGTCAGGGTGCCTCTCACCAATGTCTAATTGCATCTTCTACTAAATACCTCCCAGGACATTCCACAGTATGATCATGGGAACAAGTGAGACCCCAAGGGTAGGAATTGAGAGAACACATCAAATGTCTTAGAGTAACCTAAAAATGTCAAGCCTATCCAAAAATCTCTTGTGTTATAGTATTTAATTTTTTATGAAAAATAGAATGTTTCCTCTTTAATGGAAAAAGCTGAAAGACAAAGGAGAGGGTTAGGGAAACCATTGTTGCCAAGCACTGCAGGCTATTCCTGGAAGCCCACCACTTGGATGTTGGAGGCAGGAGGATCCTGAGGAAGGTCATCCTGAGCTGCCTAGTAAGTGCAATGCCAGCCTGAAATACATGATCACACAGCAAAAAACACAAAAACAAAAACCCAAACTAAAAGGAAAACAAAATAAAGTCACAAAAAATAAACCAACAAAAAATGATATTAACCCACAGCATGATATGCTGCGCTTTGTTGATATCTATAGGAAGCCTGACCTTTCTGAACAGAAACAGCAGGGAGGGGTGGCAGATGGGTAGCAGGGGGGAGGGAATGGGGGAGATGAGGAAGGGGACACTGGAGTCAGGGTCAGCATATAAATTAAGTGAATAAATAAGTAAGTGGATTTGGCTGAAAAATTCCAATAGTATTTAAGCTCCTTGAGATTTTCAGATTAGGAATATTTGCAGACATAGTAGCAATGTTGTAAATTCACCGAGCAGAACCCTCATCAAATATCAGAAATCAGCCACAGAGTTCTGTGGGTCCTAACACATCCCTTGGGGAGTAGGTGGCTTACCATGTGTGTCTTGGATCTGGAGACAGGGAAGGCATGTGTGCTAAAAGCCCCTGGGCATGTGCACTTATTTAAAGGCAGTCAGAGAAACCTGGGTCTCCTTTTTAAATTTTTTTTTCATTTTTTTTATTTGAATTGGAAACAAGATTGATTTACATGTCAATCTCAGTTCCCTCTCCCTCCCCTCCTCCCCTACCATCCCCCACCAACTATAACCCTACCTATCAGGAAGCCTTTCACCAGGGAGGGTAATGCCTTCCATAGGGGGTCATCATATCTGTTCTATCCTTTGGGATAGGGCCTAAGCCCACCCCCATTTGTCTTGGCTCAGGGAGTATCCCTCTATTTGGAATGGGCTCCCAAAGTCCACACCTATGTTAGGGATAAGTGCTGAACTACTACTGGAAGTCTTGTAGATTTTCGAGGTCTCCTCACTGACACCCACGTTCCTGGGGTCTGGATCAGTCTCATGCTGGTTTCCCAGCTATCAGTCTGGGAACCAAACATTCCCCCTTTTTCAGGTCAGCTGCTTCTGTGGGTTTCACAAGCCTGGTCTTGACCCCTTTGCTCATCACTCCTCCTTCTCTGCAATTGGTTTCCAGTTCATTTCAGTGATTAGTTGTGGGTGTTTGCTTCTACTTCCTCCAGCTGCTGGATGAAGGCTATAGGATGACATATAATTCAGTCATCATTCTCATTATCAGGGGAGGGCATTTAAGGTAACCTCTCCCCTCTTGCTTAGATTGTTAGCTGGTGTCATCTTTGTAGATCTCCAGTCATTTCCCTAGTACCTGATTTCTCTTTAAAACTAAAACATCTCCCTCTATTGTGATATCTACTTTCTTCTTTTCTTCAATTCTTCCCTAGACTCAGCCTTTCTCCTCCCTCATGTCTATGGCCATACCAACCTGAACGCACCCGATCTCTGCTGGGTCTCCTTCTATGAGAAACAGTTTTGAAATTCCTTACCCGTGAAAGCCATGGCGCACACAAAGAGCAGCAGCATCAGGGCAGCAATGGTGATGTCAAGAGAGAAGCCCTTATTCATTTTCTCCTGTGGATTCAGTGAAGGGATGGATTCCTAAGGAAACAATGAATAAAACAACAGTGTCAATAAGTAAATGGCAGTAAACACAAGGGGCACCAAGTGAGAGCAATAGAAAACACATGCTTGACCTTAACCTAGACTCTAGTCCTAGAGCTTCATCTTTACCGGCCTGTGGCTAATCTGGTATATGCAGGAAGACCAAGTATCTAAGGTGGTAAAGGCAGCAGAACTCCAAGACAATGTAAAAATCAGTGCCTTTGACCATGGTGGAAACCTGTTCTAAGTGAGTTGAGGTGACTACATGGGTAGCTACCTCAGTCAAAAATCTAACCATATACTCAATGTGGGATCATCCATCATGTGTGTGATTTTGTCTGCTTTAATCACCTTCTGTGGTGCTTTGTATGTGGGAAACAAAGTATCACCGTGTGCTCTACAGAGAATGCTCAATTGGAATGTAAATGAACATTTTGAATTCAAATGTCTTCTGTAAACATCAGCTTCCTTTTTTTATTTTTAAAAGTTCTTATTTGTTACATATTGTGTTCTTCCTGCATGTTTGCCTACACACCAGAAGAGGGCACCAGATCTTATTTTAGATGGTTGTGAGCCACCATGTGGTTGCTGGGTTTCGAACACATGACCTCTAGAAGAGCAGCCAGTGCTCTTAAACTCTAAGCCATCTCTCCAGGCCCAAGGTCAAACTCTTAATTTCTTTATTTTTATATACTTACTAATTTATTTATCTACAGTTTTTGTCACTATGTAACCCATATTGCCTAATGGTCCAGGCTGGCCTCAAATTTCTGATATTTTGAATTAAATTACCGAAT